AATGCTACTAACAAACTTTTCTTCCAATCAGTGAATAAGATTCTGAAATTGCTTCAGTCATTTTTACACAACGTTAGGTTGTAGTTTAATTACTGTGCAAATTCTACATTTCCATTACACCTCTTACATTTGAGTTGAACATAATGTTCTACGTCCCAAGAAATAATGTTTGCTGACTGCAGGATTCAGAGAAAACAGATTGAAACACCAAAGTACAGCCATACCAGTCCATTAAAGAATGAAAGGCATTATGCTTTCAGTACAATATGTACTCTGATTTAACTACTGTACTCAGTGTAATTCAAAGCCCGAGTTAAAATTGCAACCAGAGCTTGAATGGGGTCTTTGATTATCTATATTGTGCAGCTTATGATTTATTTTTCCTCCTATGTGTATAATCACCTGTGTCATTTGCTATAAAACTGTATATGTTTCCCTCTGAATGCCCAGAAGGAATACCAGTATAACTTGCAAGTGACATGCACCAGTTTGACTCATTTTGTGTCCTTTAAAATGGAGCTCCAGTCAGATCAGTGCTTCCATTTTCAAGTATTTTTTGTTTTTTAACTGACTTGTTTTCCCCCTCTAGGCTACAAGACAATTGATCACAATGCAGTGCCCCTCTGGTGAGCTCCACCATTCAATTAAATCATGGCTGATCTGCACCTCAATTTTGTTTACACATCGTTCCTTGAAATCATTAAAGACATTTCATTCTCAGTCTTTTAAATCTCAATTGACTTAATATTCATTATAGTTTGTGTGAAAATGTACTTTCTGGCTTTGTCTTACTTAGCCTAGTTCAAATTTTAAGATTATGCCATCTTGTTCCTGATTTCATTGCAATGTAAATGCATTTTTCATTACTGCCCTGTAGAATTTTTGTATCATTTCAAACAACGCAATTTGATTGCCCCTTGGCATCTTGAACACAAGGATTACAAGTCATCTTTATGCAGCCTTGCTTCAAAAATTAACGCTTTAATCAATGATATAATGATGATCAATGTGCACTTTATTCTTTCCAAGATTTATACAATTTATTTGTCAGATTTTTGCTTCCAAGGAAATTTTCTGACTTGGCAGACCTTTCAGTATAACTCCTCCATTATGCACCTAATCTACTCTGGGGAAGCTGGTTACGACCCCAGATTCTTTTAAAAAGATTAGAAGAGTCATTTTGTTTACATGGGTGCAATGAAGTATTGATTTTGCTTAATGGATACCTTGGTGGAGGTATAATATTTGTTGTGATTTCTTTTGTCATTATCTCAATGCTTATTTGCACAAGATGGAGGTGTGAGGTGCTCAAAGTGTTTGTTATGACTGCTTCAATAGTCGGTTTGATTGACAATTTTTATAGAGTTTTAAGAACTAATTTTCTTTATACAAAACAAAATTATGAATGTGATGATTGTCAAGCAGTTTCACACATGCCATTGATAGTACAGGGTTCATTGGTTCAGTCCATTGTATATACTGGATCAATAGGAATGGAACCAACATGAGTCGAAGGGAGATTTAAGGGGCCACTGAGGTGGGAGGGCCCAAGTTGGCATTGAGGGCACATATCTAAGATGTTTAGAGGTTACCTTTCAAACGATTCCTGTATCTAGAATATGATACACAAATCCTTTGAAATCATGAAATTCAAGTCATAGTAAATTTAGTTTGATGCCACAGAGGCTGCAGGGGAGTAGGAGTTACTTACCTTGCAACAGAGACTGTAAAACTGGAAATGTAAGATATGAGTTTATGACTCTTAACCTTTTCCTATGCCGGCAAAAACTGGAAACGTGAATCAAGTCCTGGCATTTTTAAGTGGCTCTGGGGTTCTTCAACTCTGCACACCAGCTCTTGGTATCCAAAACTGAATGTAAATCTCCAGACAGGATCGAACCAATGCTCTTTCCAAATTAAGTCAAACATTCTCACTTTAATTCCTTTAAAATAAATGGCTAAATTTTCTTTTCGCTGAGTAGTATCTTTTAATGATTTGTAAATCCTTTGTATTTCCGCAGCTCCTCGTCTCTTCCTATTGAGAAAATATTCTGATTTGTCTTCCTCAGCTGACTTCACACTTGATTAAGAATGAAGAGATAATAGGAATTCTGAAGGATTTCTGAAGAAGGGTCTAGGCCCGAAACGTCAGCTTTCCTGCTCCTCTGATACTGCTTGGCCTGCTGTGTTCATCCAGCTCTACACCTTGTTATCTCTAATTAAGAATGAACCCCAGTTGCTCTAATTTTGTCTGTTCACTTAGTCTGTCATCGAGACTGCCTGCTATAATTAGTTAAATTTAGCATTAACTTGAATTATGGATATTTAAACCTCAAATCCTTAACTCAAATCATTATACCTAGCGAAAATACAGGCCTTAGTACAGATCTCAAGGAACCAAGACTTATCTCATCTGCTAACCACACAACAGATGCAAAATAAAAAAAAAAGTTGTCCTGATCAGAAGAGAAGACTGGGATGACAGTTTAATGGTATATGTCTATCGGGGTTGTTGAGATTTTCCTTTGTCAGATCATGCTTTTCTTAGATCTTCCTTCTCCAGGTATTTTCACTTGCTTGCAGGAGGCACAGGGTGATCAGTTCGTACTTATCTGACATTTTGGGCAAGACCCCCAGCTTACAGCAACTGATGAGGGAAAATAAACAGGCTTTCTTCAGGCTTGAAGTTGTTTACTGCAGAGAGAAAGACAGCTCCTTTCTTTCGGGAAGTCTGATAGCTTATGGCTCAAACATTCATACCCACACAAGGTGAACAACCACCTAGAAACTATTTACATAGTTGTTGGCATGCAGAAGGCCTTTGATTTCATTAACTGGTTACTACTGCAGACCAGACCAATCAGCTACTTGATGCTGAACAAGTCTCCATTTACAGATACTCATTAACTCAAGCTTGTCTGCACCTAAACTCCCCTGCAGCTTGATCAACACCAGCATAAACAGTACTTGTAATGATTATCAGGTAACTTGCCTTTAAAAAACATGCAACAATCCCTTTCACAATCCTTGTTTTTTTTTTGAAAACACAGGCTTTATTCCCATTTCAGTGCGCAATCAAAATTATGGGAAAATAAAAGGATACAGTCTTTATAACCGCATATTTCCTTACTGTCAACAAATGACTAGGTCGTGTCAAAAAGTTATCTTACATCCTGTTTGCTTTCATTCCAAAATGCTTCAAGAACACGTAGAAAATCCCGATCCACTGCAAATTAGTAAAAACCAAAAAAACCTGCGGATGCTGTAAATCAGGAACAAAAACAGAAGTTGCTGGAAAAAAATCAGAGTTAATGTTTCAGGTCCGGTGACCCTTCCTCAGAACTGATGGTAGCTGGTCAAAATGTCAGTTTATATGCAGAAAGTAGGGAGGGGTGTAGGGTAGGAAGTAAACGATTGGATAGAGCCTAAAGAGAGAGAAGAACAGTTGGATAGACAAAGGATTTGATAACGATCTGGCTGAGAGGGTGAATAGTTGTTAACGGGGATTGTTAGTGACTAACAACAGGGGGTGTGTATTGGCAGGCTATGTGGTAACAAGGCCGACTGTGTGAGGTAGAGGGCTAGGACATGGGAGAGTTTAGGCCCTAAAATTATTGAACTCGATATTGAGTCCAGAGGGCTGCAGGGTTCCCAAGCTGGAACACTGCAGCAAGCCAGAGATATTTGGCCAGCGAACAAGGTGGAGTGCTGAAGTTGAACATACCACCCTGTTCTCTGGCAAATATCTCTGTCTCTGGCCTGCTGCAGTGTTCCAACAAAGCTCAACGTAAGCTGGAGGAACAACACCTCATTTTCCGCTTGGGGACCCTACAGCTCTCCAGACTCAATATCGAGTTTGATAGTTTTAGGGCCTAAACTCTCCCATGTCCCAGCCCCCTATCCCACCACACCAGGCCATGTTATCACATAGCCTGCTCTTACACACGACCTGTTGTTATTCACTAACAATCCCCATTAACAACTATTCACCCTCCCAGCCAGATCATTACCAACTCCTTTGTCTGTCCAACTGTTCTTCTCTCTCTTTAGGCTCTATCCTATCATTTACTCCCTACTCCACACCCCTCCCTATTTTCTGCATATAAACTGACGTTTTCCCAGCTACCATCAGTTCTGAGGAAGGGTCGCCGGACTTGAAACGTTAACTCTGATTTTTTTCTTCACAGACGCTGCCAGACCTGCTGAGCTTTTCACTGCAAATTAGTGATCACTTCAAAAAATTAAATTAGATTAGTCAGGAATGATCTGTTTTTCCCAGAGCCAAGACAAATGTCTTGGAACAGCTCACGCTTGTTCAAATGCTTACTCACTTCACTGTGAATGATAGGTTTGTGGTCACCTAATTTCTCCCTCCTTCCCTTAGTCTCTGAATCTAAACTGCTTTGAAAAATGATCACTAATTCATCCACTACGGTCATCTATTTTAGGATCTGATGCACAGTTAGTATTTTGGGCTATAACTTTTGCTAAAACTCTCTAATTGCAAATGAAATCTAAGTTATGAGGTGGTCATTTTTTAGTATAGGTCGTACTCATGCAAATTGCAGAGCTGTTGTGATTTTACACAGATTAAAAAATACCAATAGTTACAAAACAATTATTCTTAGAATTTGCCAATTTTATGAAACAGACATTTGTATTATAGTTATATTAAAATTATCTTTTCAAAATAGGTTTTACAACATTTTAACTTACTGTTGTGTATCTGATTTACCTGTTTTCATTTGCCATTTTTAATGAAATGATAAATCAAACAAAATTAATAAGACAAATGAAAAAACAACTCTGTTTTCAGTATACATAGAATGCAATGTCATTCCCAACTGTTTTAAATTGTATAGAAAGATTAATACATTGTGTACAAAGAATATTTGTGATATTATGAAGCAGCAACTCAAAAATCCTTGAATTACACCAGAGTAATTCAAAAACAATCACTCATTACTAAAGATTTGAATTTGCAAACATGGTTGCCTTACCTCCTTCCATTACTGTTGTCCCTTCTTCTGTAATAAGTTTCCCATATCCACTCCTTGTGTAAGCACTCAGGTAGAACTTATACTTGCTGCTGGTGTCAAGGTCAGAGACTACTATCTTGGTTGTATCAGGATCCGTAATATTAATAGTATTCAAAGAACCAATTTCTTCTGTGTCATTAACTGTAACATAAAACATTTAAGTATGAGATTTTGCTATGGTGTGTTCGATATCTGTACCTGGGAGAAACAAGGAAAATAATTTTGCTGTTAGTTTGACAACTAATTTAAGTAAAATGAAAGCTGTGGAAAGGCAGTGTTTTTGTTTGATTTTCTGTCTATTTTCCGTTACATGTGCAAAATAGCTAGAATACTGTGTTTTCCCTCTCAGTACGTTGGTCAATGCATACCTTCCACTAAGGAGGCAAAGGTTTGTGAATCTAGTTAACACACATCTTCTCTACTCTTTTCTCAGAATATTTAGATGACATAGATTCTGTGGCACTAACTGTCAATGTTCACCTTCATTCTTCTTCTGAAACTGGCAGAAACTTCTGGAATCCACAGAAATCCAGAAGATGCTGTCCATGATGAGGATTGAGGTCCCCCTAAATGAACAGTAAAATTCACCAAGTTGATGAGAGCTTGGCTTTTTAACCCTATTTATCTTACTATGAAAACATTTGTTGAATAAGGCGTAACTGATTTAGTAGCCCATATGTCCAAATTGCTGAACAATTACACTGGCCCTGAAAAATAAGCTCTATTGGCAGAATGTCATATTTCTCCAGCATGATAAAAAAATTCCACCTTTAAAATATATTTTAAGTTTGGTTATTAGCTTATATCTTAACCACATTGGTATATCCCTATCTATAATTTTGCTTTCAGTGAATCTTCATAAAAAATGAATCAGTCAGAACATTTTATATGCTGGGTTCAGGTCTGTGAGAATACTCTGAGATGATTGGTTGGCTATCCTACTTGAATTTTTGTTGTTGGATATATATGATCCTGTTGCTGGGTAAATGATGTTGGGAATGAGGAAAACCATGCATTGGAAGTATCAATCCTTTATTGATAACTCCTTTCAAGATCAGTAAAACTTAACATAATTCAGGTCCTGTTCACAAAATGCAACACATTAGATTCTGACTATCACTCTGTTTTATGGTATCTCAAACTGGACTTAGTAGCAATTCAAGTCTCAGTATACAAAGTGATCAAATTACAGTCTGAGTAAAAACACTCATATAAATAAGCTTTACTTGTGTTGTTCATGATCATTACACAACAAATACTGCTTACAAATTTGTGTGATATAATGCTTTTTAATTCACTGCACTATTGCTGATACAGATATTGAGCCAAATCAGCTTAATTATGGGCCATTAATTCATGTATAAAGGGCTGCAAATATGGGAAGAGATAATAACTGTTACTCATAATGTTCAGGATGCATGGAGTATGATCACCAATGGTGGAAAATGATAATGTTTAAAATTAGCATTCTCATGAAGATACATCTACCTTACATGCTTCCTTTACTAACTCCTTCTCCACCAAGAATAATAAAGGATTGGAGCAATATTTTACAAACCTTAATTTTGGTGCCCTCCAAGGACACACTTTAGGAAAATCTGTTGAACTTTTAAAACTAAAAATGTTCATCCACGGTATTCATTGTACACTTTTCGTGACAAGTTCCAAGTGGACGACTATGAAGGGAAAGCATAACAATTACCCAGTATCTATAGTCGTGCTAATGAATGGTCAAAGCAGTACCACAAACAGGGCCATGGCCCATTTGTGGTCAGATAATAGTGCTGTGTTTCAGGACAGTTACAGATCCGGCTCACACATGAAAAAGTACCAAAGGGCATCCTAATTATCTACAAGTATTGATGTCCAAAGGAAAGCTTTCCCGAGTTGAACTTGATAGGAATAAAACATGACAATTTAACAGTTACAATCTGGTTAAGGACTGTTAACATTTAAAAGCAACACTTTTAAAGCAACATTTTAACCAATAGAACACACTGAAATTTTATTTTTTAAACAACAAAACTTTTATGGTACAGAAAAGAATTAGATAAAGACAGGCACTATAAGCTTCACAATACTGTTTGGAACAATTGATGACATGCATTTAGTTTTACTTTTCCTAACAATTCCCTCATAAGACAAAACAATCTTCAAATTATTTTCTTCTGCACTGCTACTTTCAGAGATAAAGACCTAACTTACCGTCTATTGAATGTGGTAGCCTCAGTTCCTATGGTTATTTTTCAATTTTTCCAGGTTACTCTGCCTATTACATTCTTTTGTAATAAGGCACTGTGAGAGCCATTATAGATTCTTCCACTAGTTACAAACTGTTGAAGTCTTACAGCTCTACCCCTCATAAGATTTAAACTGAGATTGAGTTTTCCCTATCAGTCAACAGTGTTTTGTTTGGTTTGCAGAGTAGCTCTGTTATTTATTTTGGCTATCTTCTCTCAGTGAGCAGCAAACCACACAGTAAAGATGCATGGTCAGTGTGAGGTAAACTTCACCTGAGTGAAACAGAGGTTGAGTGAGTACTTCTGAGAGCTTGGTTCAAAGTAGGAATTTAACTGGTACACATCTACCAAGTTCAATTTTCGACAAATAAGTCAGCTTTTGACTTGAACTAAGAGACTTTGCACAAGGTGATGTGGCTTCGTTAAACAGCAGTTTTTTTGATAGTGACAGTTATCTCTCAATACCTGAAATCACTTCCCTGAATACGTTGTTGATCACTGTCGCAGAAAGCTAAGTTAGAAAGTGACTCATTACCGTTCTGTTTACAGCAGGAGTTTTTAAAGTGCACAGTCAATTTCGGCAAACGGTCAGTGAGTGGGAGAATTCACCTGAGTGAGACAGAGTAAAGAGAGGCTGAGTGAGTGGATCGGGAATCTGGTTGAAAATCAGAATTTGCTACAGAAGGGTAAAAAGGTGCTTTAATGAGGTTAACTGTAAGAAGTAAAATATGCTGAGTGGTGAAGTCGGTGAAGGGAAGTGTGCTTTTCTTTTTTGCTAGAAGTTCATTGCTTGGTTAAAAACAGTGCTGATATGTGCTGTCTTTAAATTGTTATAAAGTATAAAAACAGATTATTTATAAGAAAGTAGCTAGATATTCTTGAGTCAACGTGTTCAGAGATTTTATGGATGGTGGACGGTAACTGGATGACAGATCTTTTTTCCCTATTGTTTAGAAAAATTACTGGACATAGTGTTGGACATTTTGAATGAAGAGGTATTTTTTATGGGGAACCTTTATGGGACAATAAGATCCTATTCCCATTAAACCCAGTTCCAATCATAAGAAAGAGATATACAAGATGATGGCCAAAGACTAGCAGCATTTTGGACAGTCATCCAAAACTGATATTAATAATGATTAATTATTGGTGGAATTGTTGCTATCTCTTTGTGAAATCCTCTGTGAAATTGCATAAACTATGTGATTTTGAATCTGCCTATTTAAAGTTTATGGCTTTCAGCCAAATTCATGTCTGAATGAATAGTCAATATCTCGTAATTCTCAGGTATGAACTAAATGAAGTGGTGTCTCAGGGGTGATATCTTTCACTGGATAGCTATACGCAATAGAATCCTATCAGGTATTTTTGCTTTTATTGGCCCAGAGTGCTGAGGCCAGTGGTGCACTAATTTAGCACATATTGGGGATTAAGTCGAGACATTTCTTGGCTTGTGCTGCACAGTTCTGGGACGTGATCATTTTTATGCAAGGTGGAAAGAAACTTGCCTTTGGATACAAGTTGAAAGCAATATCGATTGCTTGCATCTTCAAAGCTTAAAATGAAGAAGAAAATTTAATTCCCAGGTATACAGCTTCACTGCCAAATTTCAGATCAATGCATAAATAACAGTAATGGTAGAACAGAAGGAAAAGCAAAAGTTTATTCTTAAATACCTTCGTCTTCAATGAAGATTTCCCAATTCCAGTAGGGAGGCTGACTCAATGTTAGCATTAACTTGATATTAATTAACATTTATTGACCATTAACTTAAGTATTTGGAAAGCAGATGCAAAGTATGCAATATGTCCCAGCAAAAGATAAAAAAATCCTGTTGGTAATGCAAATTAAAAATCTACCTACAGGACTATTGTAGTTCAACATTGCTGCTCAAGAGTATGTTGGTTTACTGATAGTAAATATTCCTTCCCAAAGCCCTGTCTTTTGCTCTGCTTTTTGTACTAATCCACTTTTCCTTAGAAGATGCAATATTCTATGCCTCAAGCACTTCCTGCGGCAAAGCAATCTATGAACTGTGTGAAATGACATTTCTTCTGATTACATTTTTAAATTCATGATGTTGGATGGGATTTTCCAATTTAGACTTCAAGTATGGTGATGGGTGTTGCAGATGGTATCACATCCATTATGGCCTGTGGCAAGAGTTCTGGAGCAATCATCAGCTTTTTATGTCCTATGAAAATGTGTTCTGAGGTGAATTAAACGGTGAATCATCCAGGTGGCAAGTGAAGGTTCTTGCTTCTACTGGTACCTCCTGGGGTTGAAGGTTCTGATGTTATATTTAAAGGTCATGCAGACACCTCTTCACTTGCTAAACATGAGGAACTTCACAGGTCCTACCCTATCCCAGAGATTACTGTCAGGAGTCAAAGGGGACTCCCTGCTTTAACAATCTCTCATTAGAGTATCTGCTCCAAGCAGTCTGAACGAGAGAAGAGGTTCTCTTCCTCTCTGAAGGGAGAGAGTAACCCTCCTATCAGAACCAGGCTGCCTGGGCTCAGGTCACACAGAGGTCAGTGCCTTTCATCAACATCAATGACATGTGGCCCACCACAGGAAATGGATGATTTATCCCCAGTGCTCCACCACATTAAGTGCCACAATCTTCTCACTGCAAGTTCATAGACACTTATTCTAATTCTGCTACTGTACAGTCAGATGGCATGCTCATGCCTACTTCATTATCACATGCATGATATGCACTGAACAGCCCATACCCATTTTATGCTGCCAATCCTGAGCACCACAATTGATACTCACTTATGGGAGAGGGTTCACCTCCTGGCAAGATGATGCATATATTCATATCCCACTCAATCCTTCTCTTTCTCTTGCTGCAAGACAAGCCAGAACTCAAGTGGAAGGAGGGGGTCCCAGATG